CATTGATTTTCATTGAGAAACCTCAAGAAGGCTAGATCTATAAAAATCTATTTTAAAACCTTTTCCTTATTCATTAGTTCTCTCCTTCGATGAGATTTTCAAATAAAGCAAGGTAGAAATTGACCAAAACTACAAGAACACAAATAAAATAAAACATAAAAATATTAAAATTAAAAAGAGAAGCACCTTTAAAAAATTATCTTTTATTATTCTTACATTTCAAATTACATTGCATTGGATGGTTTCTCTCTCTTTTGGCATAATTCAATAAAATGATATTAACGTTTGATAATAGTATCAAATTTACTCGTATTATTTTTTTGGAATATTTAGGAACCGAACGTTTATTTTTGGGTTAAAAATACTCACGCTGGATGAAAACCGTCAATCAACTGACAGTCAATGTCGAATGTTGATGTAACATGCATGTGTGGAGGAAAAAGTTGACGTAGACGTACATGTCATCCAGATTGCTGACGTGATAATGCCACGCCATTTTTTACAAATTATGATTTATATTTTTTATATTAAAAATTTAAACCAATCAGAGAGTGACACGTGTCACTCTCTTATTGGTGCATTTTAAAAATTAAAAGGGTGAACTGCAAGAAGGGGATTCGAACATGGATTCAAACCTGCAATAAGGGGGATTCGAACCCTTCCCTTCTCTCACGGTTGCCGGCCGCCGAGTTTCAACGATGAATTCTTCCTCGAAATGCGAGAACAGAGACAGGAGACTCGCTGATTTCCTCATCTTCTTCGAAAGCTTGGTCAATACTACGTCGGACGCTGGTTCGATGTCAGATTTGGTCCTCACGACTTCGGTTTTGAAAATGGGTTTTTTTTTTTTCAAATCCTAGCTCTTCACCTTGGGTTCCTTCTCTTTCCACTTCTTTAAGTTCTTGTGTTTCTTCAATGGCTTCCTCCGGCTGCGAAGGCAGCTGCCTTGGGGTGGTTTGTTGTTGGAAAGGTCTAACCTTGTGAGCCTCCAAGCTGTTGAAGTGCCTCAACAAATCTTCTATGAAGCTCAGGCGACCAACACCGCCTTTGTTTCCTAGAATTCTGCTACTGGTGGTGTTGGTCCTCGTGTCGGTTATGTGACTTTGTCTGAAACTTGATTTGATTCTGTTGTGCATATAAAGAAGAGTCTGAACCAATTCGACCACCGCTATTGTTCTTCAAGATGCAGGAAGGTAATTCAGAGGTTGGGGTCATAAGGGAAAGCCCTGAAATTTTCTTATCAACATGTTCCTTAAATGGAACAAAAGCCCCTCCCTTGCTTTTCTTGTTACAAAATTCCATTGGGTTCTTAGACAGATCTTCTCCTTGTTCTTCACTTCTCTGCCAAAATTTCAAATCAGAAATATTATAACTTTGTTCCCCCATAAAATAAGATTAAGGAAAAAAGTTAGTTGGCGAATTACCGGTTTTAGTTCAGGAACTGTGTTTGATTTCTTGTCGGGATCAACGTTGTTGGAATCAGAGTTCCGTTGTTGAACGGAACTCATCCAGTTCTTCATATCACCTCCATCGGTTTCCATAGTTTCTTCTCCATTTTCCTCAGTATTTCCCTTCAATGGCAACAGAGATCCATCACTCATTTCCTTACACTGGATTTCTTCCCCCTTTAATATCTCAATCACTGTAACACGTCTTTGAGACTGAGCATGCAAAGGGGAAGTTAAAAAACAGGTCTATGAATAGCAACAATGTTTTTTTAAATGAAATTCAGACAAAAGAATAAATGTTAAATACAATCTGTTTTACAAATTGCTCGTGCAAATAGCCTAGCCTGATGGAAAAATAAGAAACGATACACCCGTGTGACCCAGGTTACTCCCTTTTCATGCATTTCACCATTTTAAATTCTCACCACTCGTGTACGTCAGTAATTTGGATGATATGGACGTCCACGTTAATTTTCTCCTCCACACTTGCGTGCTATGTCAACAGTCGGCGTTGACCGTCAGTTGACTGATGATTTCCATCCAGCGTGGGTGATTTTTAACCCAAAAATAAACGTGTGGACCCAATTATTCCAAAAAAAATAATACGGGTAAATTTAACACTACTATTAAGGTCATTTTGTTGCATTATACCCTATCTTTTTCTCCTCTCATTATATGAGATGAATGCCTATTTATAAGCCTCCAGAAAAACATAAAAGAACCTAATGTAGTTTCATTAATCCTAGATACACCCACTTAAAAGAAAAGAGAAAAAATAATAAAAATTTTAAATTACCCTAAATAAATAGTAAAAAGTTTAAAGTTGAATTTAATTACGAATAATTAATAAAATAATTAAAAATTTATAATAAATTAAAATTCTAGTATTTGACATGTATCTAATTTTTTACTCGCGTTGTCTTTGTTAAAATGAGCATATCTTAATTTTTTGTAAGTCTCATACTTCAAAATCAGCTTCAATAAAAATGTTTGAGCCTTCAAAAAAAAGGTAAGCCGGATGAAAATCGTGTATTATAATTATTTATTATTTTTTAATTTTAAATTTTAAATCATCTAATCAATTTTATAAACTAATAAGTTGGAGCGAAAGCATGTGCTATTTTAGTCTTTTATAATTAACTGATGTTAATTAATTATTTTTTATAATAATTAGACAATTTATTTATTTATTTATTTATATTTTGTATTATTATAAATTTACATCAAAATATTTTTTGATGAATTAAACATTAAATTTATATTTAAAATGTCAAAAAAGAATAAATTAATATCAACGGAGGTTGGTTCAAGTGATAAGAAACTTGATATCATTTAAACAAATCTCGAAATTCGAGTATTTGTATACGTAGAAAATCCCCTCAAAAAAATTCACCTACCACAACTAGATCAATTTGAATTAATTGAGGTGAAGCTTTGAAAATTGAAAGGAGAAAAAAAATTAAAATAATGGGATTCAACTCTTATCAAGACGCGAGCAATGTTAATTTGATCTAGATCATTTACTAATCAAATTAAAATTTAATTATTTTAATTAATAGGTCAATAAATCTGATATTAATAATTAATAATAGGGTAAAGTATAATAATGGTCACTGAACATTTCTGAAACTTGCATTTAGGTCCCTCAACTTTTAAAACTTGCAATACAGTCCCCCAACATTTATTCCGTTTGCAATATGGTCCCCAACTTAAATCACTGTTAGAAAATTAGGATAAATTATATAAACGGTCATTGAACTTTTTAGGCACTTGAATTTAGATCACCAACTTTTAAAACTTGCAAAACAGTCCCCCAATAATTTTATTTTCTTATTAAATATAGATGTATAGAAAATATAAATGATTCAATTTATATTTAAATGTATGAATCATTTATATTTTTGATATATTTTATTTTTCTTGTATAAACTAGTATTTAAAATATGTTTATATTTTAATCAAAATATTTCAATATACGAATAAACATATATTTATATAAATGTATATTATATTTAGATGTATAAATAAAAAATATATTCATATTAATGTATGAATCATTTATATTTTTTGAATATTTTATTTTTAATAAGAAATTAAAATTATTAATTATATTAGAAATACTCATTATATATAATCATGAATTATAAATATGAAAAATATAATTATTAAATTTAGTTTAAAAATATATAAATCTTAAATTTATTCTTTTAAAATATTGTATCAACTAATATTTAAAAAATATATTAAATCTATCAAACAATTTATCAAATATAATATTTTTTATTGTAAAAAAATATAATATTTTCCCATCATTTATTGCTTTCAATTTTTTTGCCGAAGTTCAAATCTCATTATTTCCATTTTCTATTATATTCTTTTTTTTTCTGGCATTGGTCATACTATTAGTATATGTATTATTGTATATCTCTTAACACAAACGATGGTGTTAGCTTAGTGGCTCCACCCTGTATCTTTCATTTGCGTGACTCAGGTTTGAGTTTGCCCAAGACCCAAATTTTACTTCTTTGTAACTTAATTTTCTTCTAATTAGGTGGTGACATGTGTCACCAATAACATATATCATGATCATGCGTTAACACATGTCAGATCCTGGTTAAATGATTAATTTATTAAATTTTATTTAATTTAGAACCAAATTGATAGCATATATAAATAATTAGGCGGTGACATGTGTCACCAATGACACGTGTCATGATCATGTGCTAACACATGTCAGATCCTAATTAAATGATTAATTTATTAAATTCTATTTAATTTAGGACCAAATTGATTATATAAATAATAAAGACTGAATGTATAATAATGTCAATTCCTTTTAACTGCCACTTCATCATTTGTATCAATTGGTAACGACTAGTGGCTTAGTTGAAACAGTTAAATAATTATGTTGTATGATTGATAAATTTAAATGATCGATCACAAAAGTAAAAAGGGCTAGATAGTTAAGTTGTCAACCTAGTAGTTTACACTTTTTTTTATACGTCAAAATAACATTTTATAAATTTAAAATTCGAATTATTTTCAACCTCTTCTATATCCTAACTACTTTTTTTAATTAAAAAATTTCTTCAACAGATAAGAATTATACTATTATATTATATAAAAATACGTATCACATGAAATAAGTTGAAATTAAATAATAATAAATCTGACATAATTGAATTTAATTGAATTATTTTGGAATTTAGGGTTTAGAATGAAATTGAATTACTTTGGAAATTGAGGTTTAGAATGAAATTGATGACTGTTTTGCAAGTTTTAAAAGTTGGAGGACCTAAATTCAAGTGTCTGAAAAGTTCAATAACCTTTTATATAATTTACCCTAATTTCTAACGGTGGTTTAAGTTGGGGGACCATATTGCAAACGGAATAAATGTTGGAGGACTGTATTGCAAGTTTTAAAAGTTGGGGGACCTAAATGCAAGCTTCAGAAATGTTCAGTGACCATTACTATACTTTACCCTTAATAATAATAAATAAATAAAAACTCGCCAGTTTAACCCATAAAATTTCCAGGCTTATACTCCATTTTTTTCCCCTAGAACTTGCTTTTTGCCCTTCAAAAGGAGCCGAGTTTTCTTCTTCCCTGCATCGAGCGAGCGAGAGAGGAAAACAATGGAGACGACTGGAGAATGGCTGGAGAAGGCATTGATGGAATTATGTGAGAAAACTGAGACGGGTTTGGATTTGGACAGAGAAATCATTTCTGGTTTAGTCTCTTACTGCGAGATGGCTCATCCCCTTGATGCCAAAGAGTATCTTGACGTAATTCTTTCCCCTTCCTCTTGCCTTTTTTTTTCCTGTTAACGTTATTTGTGATGGTCCAGTTAGGGTTTCAGGTTTATCGATTTTCGCTTTATCGTTTAATTCAAAGGGCGGCTTGTTTTGGCGGATTTATGTTGATCATGGATTGTGTTTAGTTTATATTAGAGATGTAATTTGATGATTTTAATGACCCAACAAGGAACCTGATTCCCCTTTTGGGTCTTAACCCTCCATCATATTTTCATGATAGAAGCTTGAAATTATTTTCTTTAGATTTGCAAGAAGGATTATGGAGCTGATTAATGCTTCCTAGGGTATAACTAAAGGGATCTTTTTACTATGTGCGTAGAATTGAAAACTTACGTTGTCTGTGTATAAACAGACTCATTAATCATTGAACCAAATATTCAGATATCATTAAAATCAAAATCCATCATAGAATATGATGTCAATTGTCAAGTTATGAAATAATGCTGCTGAGTTGGATATAGGACGCATTTCAATTAATATGAATATTGTGGCATTCCAGGCTTTTTTACTTGTGAATTATGATTCATCTTCATCGTACCATATCAATGATGTGAAGTAGCTTCACTCTTATTGTTATGGTGTTTTTCTTTTCTATTCCAGAATTCCTCTTGCCCCTCTAAGGGATCTTAGCTATGTCTATGCCGAAGTTTTATTTGGAGCACTATAGGCTGTAATTTGTTAAGTCGAGAGTAGAGCCGTTTTATAGATATGTATTTTATTATTTTATTGAATTTTCTACTCTTGTAATTATTTACCTACATTGTCAGTTGTTTTCTCATCTACCATAGCTTAATTCTTTATCGAAGTGTTGAATTTCGTTCGTTTTGTAGAATATTATTGGGCAGGAAGCAGGAAAAGTTGTAACTGAAGAGTACATGCGGCTGAGAGGTCACTCAGATCTCTGCTCCAACAATGCAGCCATTCCTACTTCAAAACTTCAAGCCTATGTCAAACCACCTTCGGGTGAGATTTCTAGCAGTGGATCAAAGAAACCACTCAAAACTCCAAAAGAGGCGGTGGGCTCCAGTTATCAAGCTGAACCGAAAAAGAATGTCATTTCTGGTATTCAGGAAAATAGAGTCCTGAATGATGGTGATTCAAGAAACATCCATAAAGGGAATCAAGGTAATTCAAAAAAGAAGAAAGCTGGCAAAGTTGTTTCCCTTGCTGAAGCAGCCAAAGGGTCAATTGTCTTCCATCAGGGGAAACCGTGCTCGTGCCAAGCTCGCCAACACAGACTGGTCAGTAATTGTCTTTCGTGTGGTAAGATAGTCTGTGAGCAGGAAGGAGAGGGACCGTGCAATTTCTGTGGTGCTCTAGTGCTTAGAGAAGGGAGTACATATGCTGGCCTTGAAGGAAGCTTCACTCCCGTATCAGATGCTGAAGTAGCAGCTGAAGCTTACGCAAAAAGGCTTGTTGAATATGATAGAAATGCTGCTGCACGTACAACAGTCATCGATGACCAAAGTGACTACTATGAGATTGAGGGAAACAGCTGGCTATCAAAGGAGGTATCTTTTGTTTCTAAATTCTTATTCTTCAAGATTGGAGGTTATTGCTGCATGAATTTGCTTGAAATTCACTTGCATTGCATTTGTTTTTCTTCACAGGAGAAGGAACTTCTGAAGAAGAAACAAGAAGAGATCGAAGAAGCTGAATGCTTGAAAAGAAGCAAAGTAGTTGTCACTTTCGATTTACTGGGACGCAAGGTATTAGCCCTTACCAATGACCTGATTTCTACCTGAATAAATTTTTACAATCAAATACAATTCAGACATTTTAGCGATGAATTTTGAAATACGAAATAGCCATTTCAATCACATTAAGTCCGCCCTCCCCGGCTTTGTGTTTTCTTGTAATCACTATTGTCTTCAGTGTTTCCAACTTTCTCAATATTCTTGCTCTACCATGTAGCTTAAACAGCTTTGATCTTTGCTTTTGAACATTTACAGATACCTCTGTTTTCCCCATCAAATATAAGGTATTTATACTTTTGCAGGTCCTATTGAATGAAGACGAAGCTTTGGAACTAGAAAGCAAGAACAGAATACTTCTACGTCCACCGGATGAAAGGGAGGCAAACAGGATTAAACCGAATCCAAACCTTAAACTGCAGCCGGTTTTTCTAAATCCAGTCCCCAGTAAGAGGCCTTCCAAGAGTAAACAGCCTAGAAAGAGCCCTGTTAATGGTCTGTGCTTGGAAATTAGTGGGAGGGTACAACATGACAGCAATGAATTGAAACATTTTATGAAGGATAAACAGATGGCTGCAGCTTGAAATGGAAGTTTAGTTAACAAGGATGCCTGAATAAACTGTGGTCTGAATGCATCAGAGTATGAATCTGGCGAATGTTTTCTTTTTAGCATTAAGATCAATATATTGCTTACTGTAATTTTGGGTTCAATAGTCTTCATCTTTCATTAATGGGTCCAAACAACCTTTTTATTTATTTATTTTTCATAATAGTGAATCGACGAACTAGCCATTGCCTTTCTTGAAAGAAACTAAATGAATTAAGTATTAGATAGTTTAATGGAAAATCCAAAATATAAATACAAATCACTGAAGTGGTAGTAATAAAAAATCATGCTTCTTTTAAAACCTGTAATGCAATCAGATAAATGAAAAACAAATGATATAACACATATGTACTGAATTGAAAATAAGAAAAATCTACCAAATGGTATGACATGAAAATTTATTAAATGATTTTAGAAAACCTATAATGACGGTCAATGACGATACAAGAACCTAAGTACTAAAGAAAGTAGATTTACTATTCTAATAAAACAAATCAAATCTGAACGGAACACATATGCCGAATTGAAAACAAGAAAATCTATTAAATGATATGACAAGAAAATTTATTAAATGATTTGATATAAACTATAATGACGCTCAATGACGATATATGAACCTAAGTACTAGAGGTGTAAACGAGCCGAGTCGAGTTCGAGTATTGTTGAGTTTGACTCGAAAACTCTAAAATGAAGCTCGACTCGACTCGAAAACTCGCAACCTTAAAAATTTCAAGCTCGACCAGAACTCGAAATTCAGAACTGAAGCTCGTGAACAACTCGAAAAGGCTCGAAATGAAAAAAATTCTTAAACTTAACTCGATTGAAGCCTCAAACTCGAGCCTAAACCTTAAATACATAAAAATCTTATTGTATTTTCTTTTAAAAAAATCAATACATAAATATATTAATTAATAATTTATTTTTAAAAAATAAAATCTTAATATATTATATTTTCGAGCTGCTCACAAGCTTTTCGAGTCGAATATCAATAGCTCGTTTCGGCTCATTAAGAACTTGAGTCGAGCTCGAGTTCGAGTCGAGTCCATTCGATCCGAGTATTTATCGAGTAGATCTCGAGTAGCTCACGATATGTCTCGTCTCATTTATAACCCTACTAAATTCCAAAGAAACTAGATTTACTGTTCTGATAAAACAAATCAAATCTGAACTTTACTTAGACGATTTACGAAAACACGCGAGTAATTCTCTAAATACGGGAATCGTACGGATATATTAAACGAGAGATATTGAATTTGATCGATACTCAATAAGATGAAATGAGTATCTTCATAAAATATAATTTTAAATCAGTTCAATATTAGAAGTTTACTAAATAGATTAAAGTATTGAAGTTAAAAATGCACGCTCAGGTTAACAGACTTATTTCATGATTGTTGTGTTAGAATTTGACGAAATGAAACATATAAAACAGAATCAGCATATCGGAAAACGTTAGGATCAAAGTAACAAGAAAAGTAAATGTTGGTCAAAGTCAATAGCTAATGGTCAAAGTCAACAGCTCAACTCAGCTCAGCTCGATTGACTTGGGTTGAACTAATTCAGTTAAGACTAAATCAGTTTGGTTGTGTTAGGGTTGATGAGTTAGGTCAAACATGCTAATATAATAATTAGGGATGGTAAATGAGTACAATTTCGTGGATTCCACACCGTACCCGCTCTAATTGGGGTGGGGATGGGTATAACTTTAATGGGTAGTAATGGGTAGTGGGCGGGCGTGGATTTAGAAAGTGGTACTCATCACGTGTAGTGGGCGGGTGATGGGTTTGAGACCTTACATGCCCTACATCTGCCCGCCCACTGAATACCCATTAAATTTTGGACCATTATGAATTTAGGTATAATTTTAGAGACTAATTTATAAATCTTAATATTGTATAAGATATAACTTATAATTTAACCATATACTAGGGGTAAGTTTATGAATCAATTTTTTTTCTTTCAAACCTCTCGTGATTTGTTTGCTGGTTACAACACTGATACTCTGGTCAAGCTCAGAGTTCTTCTTCTCTAAGTTTCAAACTTTGGTCTCCAGCTCATTCAGGTACACCTTCTTCCTCTTCCTTACTCTGGTCTCCTCTGCGGGTAGTATGTTATTATTAGGTTTATATTTTTAACAAAGATTACCTCATCAAAAGCAAGTTTAGTCAAATCAATGTTCCGAGATGATTGGGCGCCAAGGATAACGATCCCAGAGTGGGAATGACCCTTTTGAGGGAAAAGAAGGGCAGAAGGAATGTCCCAGAGATCATAATCCACATAAGAATCATATCGGTTTTCGCCAAACTTAGACGGTGGAATTTGCTCAAGGATTAGACCTTTTTTGAATAAATAACCTTTAAAGTTTAAATCAAATTGAAATATTTAAAAATTTAGAAATTAATATAGATTTATCACTGTCCTTTTGTGTAATTCAAATCACATGGGTTTCATGTTAAGACTAATTTGAACCTCAGATCATGGTATGAGCACCTATTGATAAAAGTAACCATTTTTCAAAATATAATTTTCACATCAACTCCAGCTATCCGTAGTGATCCTTATGAAGTTTTGTGTTGCAAGGGATTCCACTGACCAAGAGATTAAAACTACCTATAGAAAACTAGCTCTCAAGTAAGGATTTTGTTTTCTTGTTACTCTTCTTAATGAATTTTTGTCGCTTTAATATTAGAGCATATTTTGATCTACTCAGAAGTTGACAATTACAAAAATTTTGCATTTAATTTTTAGTTGCAAACTGAATTATAGCTCAATGAGGCTAATGATTTCGTGGGGGAAATTTACAACATTTTGTTGGTGGAAAGATTTTAATTAGAAACCTCTAAAAAAAGTTCTTACACTTGTAGGATGTCTCATGTCTCTTTAGGTTTTGGGGTAGAATACCTGGTGAAAATATAGTCGAGACAGATTGTTAGAGGAACAAATGTGTGATTTTATGCTTTCAACAATTCTTTCTTTGACCATGCCAGTTCCTCGTCTCATTAAGTTCAGTGGGCATTTATTTTGTTGTCATTTGCAAGTTGAGTGCATCATGTGATTTGTAAATTGTAAGTTATTATTGCAAACATTTCATGCATGTGTTGTTGACATTATAATAATTGCACCCATAGAGCAACTAATAAACTAAAAGCAGCTAATGGAATTTAAAATGTGGATGTAATATACAAACAAGATCGTATTGTGGTATTCTTATCCATTATAAATGACAAAACTATCGCTCTGATTAGTGTTTAAATTATACATTATTTTATGACTAAATTTCGACAATTTTCAAGTAAGTAGCTAGTTTCTCTAGCTACCTACTTAACCAACCCACTATATATCATACTCACATAATACTAGAATTTTGTTATACATATTTATTTGTATGAAATTTTGGAACTGTATATCTAATTATTAACGCAGTGATATGTCATTGAATAGTTTAAGTAGATAAACAAATTGATTATACATATACCATCATAGTATGTATTTAGTCCATATACATTTAGATATTATCAATGCACAAATTTATGATAAAATGTTCTTGTAGCTCCTCGTTTATTATGGTTATTTGATTTGGCTAGTATTCATATGATACAATTTGGTCATCTTTGGTTAACATGTTATTGTTTATTTGGCTTTTGTTTAAACAATTAAAGTTGGGAGTTTTTCTAGTCTCTTTGAACTATTGAATATTGTTCTCTCTGTTCAAACTTGTATATTGTTGTTTCGAATTTACTTACTTTGATGCATGTATTAATGTGGTTTATGTATCTTATATAACATATTTTATTGTAATTGTAATTACATAATACATGATGACAACCAAAAGTGAACAACACAATACTATAGCCACCTCATCACCATCAATCTTAAGCCAACCACTACAACAAGTTCTACCCCAACTTCTGACTGCAGTGACAAAAGTCCAAAGAAAACCGATGATGCAGATCCTATGGTCCTTCCCTTAACTTTGAGGCATACATTAACAACTTGGAGTCACTTTACAAGAAAACGAGTTGGGGAGGAAATAAAAGATGAATGTAACTACTGCAATAAGCAACTTACTGGAGGACCAAGAGCGGGGACAAGTCACTTAACCGAGCATGCAAAGAAATATGTCAAAAAATGCTTAGATATTCGACAAACAAGGCTATTTGGAACACAAGCTAAAGATGGTAGTTTGAATGTCATTCTTTCTTTGGCACCATATGAATTCCACCAAGATAAAAGGAGAAAAGACTTGGCAGAAATGATCATTTTGCATGAATACCCTCTTACCATGGTTGAGCATTATAGCTTTAGGAAATACTCCAATACACTTCAACCAGGCTTTAAAGTTCAGTGTCGTAATACAACCAAGAAAGATTTCATGAAAATATATGAGACTAAAAAAGAGGGCATAAGTGCATTGTTGAGCAAAATGAATAGTAGAATTGCCTTGACCATTGACATGTGGACCTGAAGCAATCAAAGAAAGGGATACATGGTTGTCACCGCACACTTTATTGACAATGGATGGAAACTCCAAATTCGAACACTTAGGTAATATTATTTTGGAAGTTTGTTCCTTTATGAAGTTTCATTTTCCTTTATTTCATGTGTTAATACATGTCACATTAATATGATAGGTTTTTGTATGTCCCGGCACCTTACACGGCTGAGGTTCTTGCTGAACATTTGAAAGAATGCATCCACTTCTGGAATATTGATATCAGGATGTCTTCTATAACTGTGGATAATTGCACAAATAATGATGCCATGATTGATTTTGCGCCAATAGTTTCCTTATGGCTCGCTAATATTGCATGGACGTTTTCTTCATATGCGTTGTTGTGCTCATATACTTAATTTGATTGTTCAAGATGGGTTGAGTTCTGTGATAAAAAATGGTCTTGATAGAATTAGGGACAGTGTTGTCTTTTGGATTGCTTCAAATAATAGAAATAAAAAATTTGAACAAGTAGCTAAGCAAGTGGTTCCTGAATGTACAAAAAAGTTGCAACTTGATTACAAGACTAGGTGGAATTCGACTTATGACATGCTTATGGTTGCTTTAAATTATAAGGAGATATTTGTTGTATTGAGTGGTCGTGAAAGTTTG